ATGCTTAACTGACCGAGCCACTCAGGCGCCCCAATTGTTAACTTTTCAATTCAGAAAAGTCGTAAGTGGCTTTGTTATTCAAGTGCATTTTTAATAAAGATAGAGTGACATGCTCTTTCCTAGTGTAGATCCTCATTACTTTCAAGATGTAAATGTAAATTTGCTGTCTTTCCTGTTGTCAAGGATTTTAAAATACCAAGTAGTACAACATTAAAAACTCCTCTGGTTGCTGTATTTGATGATTTGGACATAGAAGTGGAAGAAGAAGATGAACTTAAGGCAAGAGGTAAAATCTCCTATATAACACTCTTTTCTATGGTACTACACATTTCTTTAGGAAATTGTAATGTGAAAATTTCAAACTCGAGAAGTGAAAGAGACTCTATAGATGTTGATGGCCTAAATAAATAAATAAATAAAATCTAAAATTTGGCCTAGTACAATTGTATTTGCAGGGAAAGCAGACTGACAACTTTTGAGAGATGCTTGGTTTCTCTGGCATCACTTTACCAAAGCCCTTAGTATAAACTATCCATATACAATTTAGTACAAATTTTGTGTTTTATAATTGATGCAAGGGAATTTTAACTTTTAAATGTTTATTTAAATAATTATCTGAAAATTAACACTTTAGTAGAATCCTGACCTCTGAGTTGCTCAAGTTGATATTTTGTATTTCCATAATGTATTTTGCGGGTTTTTTTCCCTTAGTTTTTAAGTATTTTGAGTTATCTCTGTACCCAATGTGGTGCTTGAACTCACAACCCCATGATCAAGGGTTGCATGCTCCACAGATTGAGCCAGCTAGGTGCTCCTATTTTGTGTGTTCTTAACATAGTTTGAGAACTGTAATAAGTATCATACATAGTTACATATTCAGTAAACACTTAGAAAATTAAGTCACTGCATTATTGAGTGATGACATAATTTATGATTGTTCTTAATAGGTCTTACAGGTTTGAAAAATATTGGAAATACTTGTTATATGAATGCAGCTTTGCAGGCTCTTTCTAATTGGTAAGTATAGAAATTAATTTTGTATAGCTTTTTAAAGTCACTCTTTATCACAGTTCTTATATGGCAGTTATACTTCAATAAAACTGTTTCTAAATGAAAAAAAAAAAATGAAGTCACTCTTTGAGCAGAAAACCATGCTGTTGGTAACCTATAGCCATACCACTCTGAACGTGCCTGATCTCACCTGATCATGGAAGCTAAGCAGGTCGGATCTGGTTAGTATGTGGATGGGAGAAAATCATGCTGCTCGTAATTTGCTAAAAAAAAAAAAAAAAGAAAAGAAAAGAAAGAAAGAAAGATGAGTCAGAGGAGGAAAGAAAGAAGTACACTAATAGTAATATGAGAAAGAGTTAACAATTCTATTCAATTTCCCTAGCCAATAGGATCCCATAAATCCTTGGCTGTCCTTCTTCCCTCAATGAATTCCTCTCCTTCCCTCTCACTTTCTGAAATGACCCCATTTAAAAGATTCTGTGGATTAACTATGTAAATGTCCTGAAAAGTTTCTTTTTTCTTTCTTGTTAAGTAATCCTGAAGGTAGAGTAGGCAAGAAACTGGGTTGGTACTAATCCATTGTCCCAGTGGGATTATTCAGGCCTGTATTTCCTGAGACTGCTGGTTCTGGTGTAAACCCTAGTTAGTTGTGTGCCTTTGAGCAAGTTATTTGTTTTAACATCTAGAAAATGAGAAGCTTGAACTAATTCCTCAGATCACTTTTTTTTTAATGTTTGTTTTTGAGACAGAGAGAGAGAGAGAGAGAAACCGCATGAGTGGGGGAGGGGCAGAGAGAGAGGGAGACACATAATGGAAAACAGGCTCCAGGCTCTGAGCTGTCAGTACAGGGCCTGACATGGGGCTTGAACCCACGAGCCAGGAGATCATGACCTGAGCTGAAGTCAGATGCTCAACCGACAGATCCACCCAGGTGCCCCTTCCTCAAATCACTTACAGAGGTGCTATGAAAATATTTTGTACTTTTCTATAGGTGAAAAGTCTTTAATAAAAAGTATTCAGGTTTTTTTTAATGTTTATTTTTGAGAGAGACAGCACGCAAATGGGGGAGGGGCAGGGAGAGAGGGACACACAGAATCCCAAGCAGGCTCCAGGCTCTGAGCTGTTAGCATAGAGCCCAATGCGGGGCTTGAATCCACGAACCACGAGATCATGACCTGAGCCAAAGTTAGACATCCAACTGAGCCACTCAGGTGCCCCTAGATTTTGTTTCTTAATCATACTTTTACAGAATAGGTAGGGGCAGCATGGAATGCTCTGTAGACGTCTGTTGAGTCCATCTAGTCCAACATGTAGTTTAAGTCCAGTGTTTATTGATTTTCTGGCTGGAAGATTTATCCATTGTTGGAGATGAGTATTGAAGTCCCCTACTGTTACTGTATTGCTGTTTATTTCTCCCTTCATATCTATTAATACTTGCTTTGTTTATTTAGCTCCCCTATGTTGGGTGCATATTTATAGATGTTATCCTTTTGATGACTCAATTCCTTTATCATTATATAATGGCCTTCTTTATATCTTGTTAGAGCTTTGAGTTAAAGTCTGCTTTGTGGGGGCGCCTGGGTGGCTCAGTCGGTTAAGCATCCGACTTCGGCTCAGGTCACGATCTCGTCTGTGAGTTTGAGCCCCGCGTCGGGCTCTGGGCTGGTGGCTCGGAGCCTGGAGCCTGCTTCAGATTCTGTGTCTCCCTCTCTCTCTGCCCCATCCCCGTTCATGCTCTGTCTTTCTCTGTCTCAAAAATAAATTAAAAAAAAAAAAGTTAAAAAAAATAAAAAAAAATAAATCTGCTTTGTGTAATATAAATATAGTTACCTATATCTTCTTTCATTTTTCACTTGCATGGAATATCTTTTTAGGATAGCCAGTTTTTTTGTTTTTTTTTTTTTGTTTATTTATGAGACAGAGACAGAGCATGAGTGGGGGGAGGGGCAGAGAGAGAGGGAGACACAGAATAGGATAGCCAGTTTATTGCAGGGCAGGGCTTGGTCCTTTGCCCAGTCTTTTTCCTGTAACTGAATAGATTCATTGAGGTTCCCTCCAGCTAATCATGCTCATAGAAGATAATATTGCCTTTTTTTTTTTTAATGTTTATTTTGAGACTGAGATAGTATGTGTGTGAGTGGGGGAGGGGCAGAGAGAGAGAATCCCAAACAGAGCCTGTCATGCACAGAGCCCAACATGGAGCTTGATCTCACGAACTGTGAGAACATGACCTGAACCGAAATCTACAGCTGGATGCTTAAGTGACTGAGCCACTCAGGCACCCCAACAGTATTGCCTTTCAAATTGCTAACTGAGCCACCAGATGGATAGTAGTATCACTTACTGAGATGTAGAAGCCTGGAGGAAGAATAGATTCACTTGAAGGTTAAATTTTGATCATGTTAAATTTAAGATGCTCAGCACAGCCATCAGTTTGGATATTTGATATAAGTCTGGAATTTAGATGAGATATTTGACTTTCATAAGTTTGACTGTCATTGGCATGAACATGAAAATTTAAGGACACCCCAGGAAAAGAGTATATAGGGAAGAGAGGTAAAGTCCTAGGATCCAGTCCTGAGGGGCTTTGATATTTGTATATCTGGTAAGAGTCAAAAGAACAGTAAAGAAGGGAAAGAGTTGCCAGAGATAAAGAAAAATGGAAAAATTCATCATTGTTCAAGAGAATGGTTGCTCAAGAATGAGGGGTAGGTCACTTGTAATAAATGCTACTAAGAGGGAGTGAAAGATGTTGACTGCATCTGGCAGCATTGTGGAGTCTGATACAGTGGGGTCAAATTTGATTTGAATGGGTTGAACACGAATATGAAGAAGTGAATGTGAAGCTGTAAAAGGGAGCAAAGAAATGATAGATATGGGGCTGTATGTGCTACCAATTTATTGAATGACTGGAAGTCAGTCATTATTAAGCTTTGATTCCACTTTAACATTTTTCTTTTTTTTGAATTAGCCCACCTTTGACACAGTTTTTTCTTGATTGTGGAGGACTAGCTCGAACAGATAAGAAACCAGCCATTTGTAAAAGTTATCTGAAACTGATGACCGAACTGTGGCATAAAAGCAGGTATGTACTTAATGTATTTATTCTCTTTATTATTATTATTTTTTTAAGTTTATTTGTTTTGAGGGAGAGAAAGCACATGGGGGGGGCAGAGCAAGAGAGAGAGAGAATCCCAAGCAGACTCCGTGCTGTCAGGTTGGAGCCTGATGTGGGGCTTGAATCCACTTAATCGTGAGACCATGACCTGAGCTGAAATCAAGGCCAGACGCTTAACCGACTGCGCAACCCAGGTGCTCCTCTTTATTACGTTTTTAAATGAATACCCGAGGCCTGGGTGATGAATCGACTTAAGCTCCGATTCACCAGGTCACGATCTTGCTTGATCCCAGGAGTTCGAGCCAGCGTCGAGGCTGCTGGGCTGATGGCTCAGAGCCTGGAGCCTGTTTCGCATTCTGCTCTCCTCTCTCTGCCCCTCCCCCGTTCATGCTCTGTCTCTCTCTGTCCCAAAAATAAAATAAACGTTGAAAAAAAAAATTTAAATGAATACCAAATATTAAAAGGATATAGGTGCACATATGTAGAGCTGAAAAAAAGTAAATTTGAGACAAGTTCATTTTACAGTATGTTCTGTTTCAAACTGAACATCCAAATGAAGTATCTGGACTGCAGATAAGTTGAAATGCTAAAGCTGCTATTACTGACACTTGAATTTTAATGCAGGAGTAGACATTCTCACAATGCTAAAATCAGACCATAAATACTTAGGTGAATGTTCATTTTTCTGCTTATGTTTATTTCCTGTAAAGTGTAGCATTAGAAGAATAATTGTTCAATGTAATATTTTACTAATTTTGTTTTAGAATTATTCAGAAAATTGTGTTTACCATTAGTCCTAACTGCTCAACCTTATCTGTAAAGAAAACAATCACCAAAGCTTTTTTTTTTAAAACCTCACAAGACTTTTGAGATCTTGATTTGTAATGTAAAAATTTCAGTAGTATTTAAAGTTTTAACATTCCCCTATTCCTAAGTGCCTCAGTTTTCTTTGAGATATTTTACCCCGTACTAAGCATCTCTTAAGTCAAACAAAAATTTGTTAGTACTTTGATTTTAACATGCTAGGAAAAGAAAATGGCTTTTCTCTCTCTCTTTTTTTTTTTTTTTTTAAATTGAAGGGTAATTGATACACATTGTTATCTTAGTTTCAAGTATATAACATTTTTTTTAAACGTTCATTTATTTACAGGTACCTGGGTGACTCAGTCTGTTAAGTGTCCAACTTTGGCTCAGGTCATGGTCTCACATCTCACAGTTTGTGAGTTCGAGCCCGTCAGGTTCTGAGCTGACAGCTCAGAGCCTGGAGCCTGCTTTGGAATCTGTGTCTCCCTGTCTCTCTGCCCCTCTTCCGCTCATGCTCTCTCTCTCAAAAAAATAAATAAACATTAAAAAAAATTTAAACTTTCATTTATTCATTTTGAGAGTGAGAGAGAGCATGTGTGTGTGTGTGGGGGGGGGGGGCGGGGTGGCCAGGGGCAGACAGGGAGAGATAGAGAATATCCCAAGTAGGCTCTGCACTATGAGCGTGGAGCCCAGCGTGGGGCTTGAACCCCCAAACAGTGAGATCATGACCTGAGCCGAAACCAAGAGTCAGACACTCAGCCAACCTAGCCACCCAGGTGCCCTTCAAGTATGTGACATATTGACTGGGCAATTCTATACATTACTTAATGCTCACTATGATAAGTGTAGTCACCATTGTCACCATACAATGTTATTAGAATATTATTGACTATATTCTCTATGCTTGACTTTTCACTTTGTGACTTATGTATTTTATAACTTGAAGTTTGTACCTCTTAATCTCCTTTATCTATTTCGCTCATCCTCTTCACACACCTAACCTCTGGCAACCGCAAGTTTGTTCTCTGTGTTTAAGAGCCTTTTTTTTTTTTTTTTTTTTTTTTTTTTTTTTTTTTTTTTTGCTTGTTTTGTCCATTTGTTTCTTAGATTCTACATATAAGTGAAATCATTCGGTATTTGTCTTTCTCTGACTTATTTCACTTAGCATAATAAACTCTAGGACCGTTCATGTTGTCACAGATGGCAAGATCTTATTCTTTTTTATGGCTGGGCAAATATTCCATTGTATATATACCATCTTGATCCATTCATCTGTGGATGGACACTTAGGTTGCTTCCGTATCTTGGCTATGGTAAATAATGCTGCAGTAAACATAGGGGTGCCTATATCTTTTTGGATTAGTGTTTTTATTTTCTTTGGGTAAATACCCAGTAGTGGGACTGCTGAGTCATATGTTATTTCTGTTTTTAATTTTTTGAGGAGTCTTTATGCTGTTTTCCAGAGTGGCTGTACCAGTTTACTCTCCCACCAATAGTGCACTTGGGTTCCCTCTTCTCCACATCTTTGCCAACACTTGTTATTTCTTGTCTTTTTGATACTAGCCATTCTGATTAGTCCTCTGCCCATCTTTTAGATTGTTTTTTTTTTTTTTTTTTTTTTGGTGTTGAATTGTATAACGTCTTTATATATTTTGGATTTAACCTTATCTGATAGATCATTTGCAAATATCTTCCCCCATTTATGAGGCTGCTTTTTCTGTTGTTGTTGATGATTTCTTTGCTGTGTGTAAGCTTTTTACTTTAGTCCCAATAGTTTATTTTTCTTTGGTTTCCTTTGCCTGAGGAGAAATATCCCTAAATATGTTGCTAAGGGCGATGTCTAAGAGATTATTGCCTGTATTTTCTTTCAGGCATTTCATGGTTTCAGGTCTAACATTTAGGTCTTTAATCCATTTTAAGTTTATTTTCATGTAAAAAAAAGAGTATGATTTTAATGAGTTCTTTGGGGCTATGAACATTAAAGAGCCAGAATCCTCCATTGTCATTTATCCCTATTGAGTGTTATCCAGTGCTGCTACAGACTCTATAGCTAGAATTAACCCTTAACTGCTGTTTTTTAACTTCTTTGCCCTGAATATGTATTTTAAACTTAAAATTCCTGAAAGTTTATCAGACTTCAAAAGTGTCAGTACAGAATTCTAAAAGTGGTTAAATATCTGGGGCACCTGGGTGGCTCAGTTGGTTAAGTGTCTGACTTTTTATTTTTATTTATTTATTTATTTTTCAACGTTTATTTATTTTTGGGACAGAGAGAGACAGAGCATGAACGGGGGAGGGGCAGAGAGAGAGGGAGACACAGAATCGGAAACAGGCTCCAGGCTCTGAGCCATCGGCCCAGAGCCTGACACGGGGCTCGAACTCCCGGACCGCGAGATCGTGACCTGGCTGAAGTCGGACGCTTAACCGACTGCGCCACCCAGGCGCCCCAAGTATATCTTAATATAAAGCTATTCTGGTGAGCCTATGAAACATAACACTGGGCAATTTTTAATGACTTTGTGAAACACATTAACAACTTGAATTATTTTTTTTTAACTTTTTAAAAAATATTTATTTTGAGAGAGAGAGAGACAGAGCACAAGGAAGAGAGGGGCAGAGAGAGAGGGAAACAGAATCTGAAGCAGGCTCCAGGCTCTGAGCTGTCAGCACAGAGCCTGACGCGGACTCAAACCCACAAACTGCGAGATCATGACCTGAGCCGAAATCGGATGCTCAACTGATTGAACCACCCAAGTGCCCCTACAGCTTGAATTCTTGATTGTTATTTACTAAAATAAAAAGTAAAAATTTTAGATTTCATTCATCACAGATTTCTCATTAAAAATGTTATCTTCCTCAGGCCAGGATCCGTTGTTCCTACTACTCTGTTTCAAGGAATTAAGACAGTAAATCCAACATTTCGGGGGTATTCTCAGCAGGTAAGTCTTCATTCTTTTTCATTCACAATCTTAATGTTTAATAAGTTTGAAAAATGCCATTATGCATTATGCTTTTATGGAGACTTTTGTATTTCTTCCTTTATAATTTATTTGTCCATTGTCTTGGGTCATCCTTTCTTGTGTGTTTATTTACTGACAATAATAGCCTATTGTCATTTTTTTGCTTATGTTTTTCCACCTTTCTCATAATTTTGTGTTTTTCTAGAAATTGTTAAATTTTGGAGTGGATAAATACGTCTCTATTCTAATGCTTTTAGCTTCAAAAAGTTACACATATAGAGATAAATTTTCACCTATATTTTATGCTTTAATTTTTAAAATATTTAATTCTTCTCTGCATCTGTCATTTATTTTGTGTTACAGTGCAAATTTCATTTTTTTTTTTTTCACAAATAGCTAACTAATTGTACCAGACTACAGATTTGGAAGAATTTTCTTTTCTGATTTTAGAAATTTCTTCTTTTTTAGTTTTTATGCTTACATTAATATTTTATAGGGTTTGTTTCTGGGCTTTCTGATTCATTGCATTGATCTGTGTTTTATTTTTTTTAATTTTTTTTTTCAACGTTTTTATTTATTTTTGGGACAGAGAGAGACAGAGCATGAACGGGGGAGGGGCAGAGAGAGAGGGAGACACAGAATCGGAAACAGGCTCCAGGCTCCGAGCCATCAGCCCAGAGCCTGACGCGGGGCTCGAACTTGGGGACCGCGAGATCGTGACCTGGCTGAAGTCGGACGTTTAACCGACTGCGCCACCCAGGCGCCCCGATCTGTGTTTTATTGAAGGGGTACCAATGGCAGTTTCAATTATTGTAACTTTATGTGTTCCTTTGATATTAACACCTAACCCTCACATATTTTTCTTTTTCAAAATAATACCTGTTCCCTGTTAATTTTTTCTGGTGCACAGACACCAGAGACTGATTTCTTAGATGTGAGTTGGTCTATAAATTTATACATTTGTATTTTCTTTCTTTCTTTTCTTTTTTTAAATTGAAGTATAGTTGACACATAATGTTACATTTGTTTCAGATGTACAGCATAGGGATTCCACAATTTTATACATCATGCTATGCTTGCCACAAGTATAGCTACTATGTAGCTATTATTTATCACCATATGACACTATTAGGATACCACTAGTAATATTCCCTTGCTGTACCTTTCATCCCTGTGACTTACTCAGTATGTAACTGGAAACCTGTGCTTCTCACTTTCCTTCACCCATTTTGCACATCTCTGTACCCACAAATTTTCAAAAAGCATTCCAGGTTGATCAAGGATTTTTCTTTGAGATGTAGTACAAGATTGGAAAGCTTTAATTTTAAGCCAAACTGATAAAATATTTGAATTTAGGACATCTCTGAATTCTAATTGTCATATGACGCAAATCCAGTTGTTTTTTTTAAATGCCTTTTCATTTTTAAAAAATAGCAGCAGTACTAAAAGCTGACCTCCAGATCATCTTCAGTTTTTAAATTACTTTTGTTTTATTTAAATAATTTTTTAGAACTCAGTGCTTCCTATTCCTTCTTCAGGGCCTTATGTTCTACTAACTGGTGTTTCCTCAGTATAACACAACACCTTTAGAAATCAGTTGATAAGCACATTTTGTATATTTTTTCTTAAGTTTCTACATACACATATTTTTAATGAAGTGGTAATATGTGTTGCTTATATATTAGGATGCTCAAGAATTCCTTCGGTGTTTAATGGATTTGCTTCATGAAGAATTAAAAGAACAGGTCATGGAGGTTGAGGAGGATCCTCAAACTATAACGACTGAGGAGACCATGGAAGAGGACAAGAGCCAGTCAGATGTAGATTTTCAGTCCTGTGAATCTTGTAGCAGCAGTGATAAAGCAGAAAATGAAAATGGCTCTAAAGGCTTTTCTGAAGATAATAATGAAACAACAATGTTAATTCAGGATGATGAGAACAATTCAGAAATGTCAAAAGATTGGCAAAAAGAGAAGATGTGCAATAAGATTAATAAAGTAAATTCTGAAGGAGAGTTAGATAAAGACAGAGACTCTGTGTCTGAAACAGTCGACTTGAACAACCAGGAAACTGTCAAAGTGCAAATACACAGCAGAGCTTCAGGTGACAATTTAATAATTGGAAAATGATAGTGTTTCATTTGTAGACAATGTGTACGAGAGAGCATATTTGTATTTATTTGTATTATATTTGTAATTTCACTGTTTTCTGATTTTTGGAGAGAAAATTAGCATGGCCTGTGAGTGAAATCAGACATATTTCTAGTTTACATGTTAATGTTCCCAGTCTGTATTTAGCATAAAAAATGAAATAGACTGATTAGCTTAATATTTTATGTGCAGGATATGATCAAGTTTGAAGAAAGCAGGAATAAAATAGTTGTTACTTTTGGGCTAAGTAGTAAAGTTTAGCAATATTTGCATGTAGAATATTAAGTTAATGTCATTTTATGTGGATTCTGTTAAGATCCTGGGGAAAAAGCAAAATAACTCAAATTACAATTCTGTAATCTTACACACTTTTAGATTTAGACTACTGTCATTGGAATACTATCAGCTATGAAATATTTGGCATATATTTTGATATAGCAGTTTAACTATAATGAATCCTGTTATGATAGATTATTACCAGAATACTAGTGTTTTTTTTTTTTTTGAAAAGAGCAAGTGGCCAGATGAAAGATAATTAGGTTAGATTGCTTTGCATTTTACCTTTATTTCTTCAAAAGTTAATTTATCTTGGCCTAGTGTGATACTTAATTTTCCAAAGCACATTAAAAACCATCAGAAGTTTAAGTTCTTTGATCTTAAAATAAGTGGCAGACAAGTAACATAAAAAAGTTTATCTTTTGTAATTTGAAAAGAATAAAACTAGTAAACAATTTATTTAGGTATTGAATGAGCCCAAAATTTCTTCTTGAGGAAAAAAGGATATTTCCTTGAACACAGGAATAGTGGTGGTTCACCTGTGTGTGGTGCATATTGGTGTTCTAGTCAGGAAAGTCAGGAAAGCATTTTAGGCTCCTTAGTTACAGTGGCCTTATTTTAGAAGTTTAGATGCTTTTGGAAGTTGTTTGGTCAGTAAATATTGAAAGACAGCCTAGGCTTCCATAGACTGCTGTTCAGCCCGCCCTTGTCAAAAGCCTGATTAAGGGACGTAGTGGTTCTTTATTGCTCCATAGCAGGCTTTTTCTTATACATGGTGACTAATTGATGAGCTAGATCAGGGATCTGATCTTTTACATTTTACAAAGACCTGATTAAAAAATGTGACAAAGACTGTATATAGGGTGCAAAACCTGAAAGACTTATTATCAAGTTTTTTACAGGAAACATTTGCCAATCCCTGACCTTGATAATACTAACTTTATTCCCTGACCTTGATAATACTAACTTTATTCCCTTCAGAGAGGGTGAGTGAGTCTCCTACTCTTTCTCCCTCTAATATTACGCAGTCTTCATTTAGTCATGGTTGGAATCGTGAGAAATGCTTATGTGAAAATAATAAAGGTGACTTACTTTGCATTATCTGGAAAAATCTCTGAAGTCATTCAGTTTCAGGGTCCTTATGAACAGTTCTTTTTTCTTCAGATACTTATTGAGCACAATCCCTTGCCCTGAAATCTGTATTGTATATATACTAGGACTCCAACAGCACAACTGTCAAGATAGTGGTCATGAAGTTTTTATTTTCTTGATTCATAATTTCATTCTAAAAAAGGTTCTTTTCTGATAAAGGGATGTATTTCCTTTTATCACAGTAAGAATAAAATAATTTATGATTCTGCCTAAGTTTCTTCTTAGATTTTGATTATTATGTTAGTTTGAGAAGATAATCTTTTTCTCCTACAGTTTCAAAGCTTTTTAAAAACTATCATAAATACTAAAAAATACTAAATTAGAACAAATACAATTCTCTTTGGCTTTATGTTACCACTGCTCACTTCCTAAATTGCTAGCACAGTAATGTGTTACAAACATTATCTGGATTCCTAGGTGGAAAATCACTGTTGTTTTGCTTAGCAAGAACTTTGTCTATCAAATATTTCACTTTACATTTATTAATGGGAATTGTGTTTAAAATCTCAAATGAAGAAACCTTTAAATTAATTAATATTATTTGATAAGTGGGATAATTTTACTATTTAAGGTAATAATACAAATTTTAAATATTACAGAATATATTACTGATGTCCATTTGAATGACCTGTCTACATCACAGATCCTCCCATCAAATGAAGGTGTTAATCCACGTTTATCAGCAAGCCCTCCTAAATCAGGCAATTTGTGGCCAGGATTGGCACCCACACACAAAAAAGGTAGAAGTTTCAGTTATTCAGGTTCCTTCGTTTTGATAATTTAAAGTGTTAATTATGAAATATTTAGTACTTTAAAATCGACAGCATAATTTTATATAACCATGATTTGAAATTTTTGTGTGTGTGTGGCATAAATTTACATACAGTAGAATTCACTCTTTTGGTGTAGAGTTCTGGATTTTAACACATGCATAGATTCTTGTTACCACCACACAAACAGAATATAGAACAATTCCAACACCCCCAAGGAATTCCCTCATAACTACCCTTTGTAATTAGATCATCCCCCTACCCCTCCCTAAACCCTAGGCCTTTGATCTGTTCTCTATTGCTATTGTTTTGCCTTTCCCAGAATGTCAGATAAATAGAATCATACAGTACATAGTTTTTTGAAACAGGCTTATTTCACTTATTGTAATGCATTTGAGATATAGTCACATTGCATGTCTAAATAGTTATTTTTATTACTGAGTAGTTATTTCATTGTGTGATTAGACTGCTGTTCATTCATTTTCACTTTGAAGAACATTTGAATTATTTGCAGTTTTTGGCAGTTGTGGATAATGCTGCAATAAACATTCGTATACAGGTTTCTGTGTGAATATAAGTTTTCATTTGTCTAGAGTAAACACCCAGAAATGAGGTTATTGGGTCTTATGTTAGTTTCATACTTAATGTTATATGAAATTGTTTTCCAGTTTAGCTGTATTATTTTGCATTCCCACTAGGCTCTGTATGAGAATTCCAGTATTACAAAATGTAAAACTCTAAAACTCTTAGGAAAAAACATAGGAAGGAGAAAGTCTTCATGACCTTTTGTTGGACAGATAGTTTTTTTAAGACATCAAAAGCAATATCCATAAAAGAAGGGACGCCTGGGTGGCTCAGTCAGTTAAATGTCTGACTTCGGCTCAGGTCATGATCTCAATGTTCATGGGTTTGAGCCCCATATGGGCTCTCGGTTGACAGCTCAGAACCTGGAGCCTGCTTCGGATTCTGGATCTCCCTCTCTCTGCCCTTCCCTACTTGTGCATGCTCTCTCTCTCTCTCTCAAAAATAAGTAAACATTTAAAAAAAAAAGTGCAAAGAAGACAAAGTTTTAAAAAAATCCATAACAGAAACAATTAAAAATTTTCTTGGCAAAAGACACTATTTTTTTTTTAATTTTTTTTTTTTTTTTTTTAACGTTTATTTATTTTTTTGGGACAGAGAGAGACAGAGCATGAACGGGGGAGGGGCAGAGAGAGGGAGACACAGAATCAGAAACAGGCTCCAGGCTCTGAGCCATCAGCCCAGAGCCCGACGCGGGGCTCGAACTCACGGACCGCGAGATCATGACCTGGCTGAAGTCGGACGCCCAACTGACTGCGCCACCCAGGCGCCCCCAAAAGACACTATTAAGAGATTGAAAAGATAAGATTGGGAGAAAATACTTGTAAATCAGGAAGCTCACAAAGGATCTGTTCAGAATGTATATATATTAAAAAAAAAAACTCTCAAAACTTAGTTATTAAATCCCTTTTTCAAATAATACCTTATTGGATGCAAAAACAAGGAAAGGCAAAACTATTCTGATTGAAGTCAACCTGGAGAGACTGAACCTCTCTTCTGTTTCATCTTGGTTTCTTTTGGGATTTTTTAAAAAGTTTATATATTTATTTTGAGAGATCACGAGTGGGGAAGGGGCAGAGAGAAAGAGGGAGAGACAAAGTCCCAAGCAGGCTCTACACTGTTAGTGCAGAACCTAAAGTGGGGCTTGAACTCCTGAACTGTGAGATCATGACCTAAGCCGAAATCTAGAGGCAGATGCTTAACTTACTGAGCCACCCAGGCGCCCTTGGGATTTTTTTTTTAAAGTAATTCTCTTGAATGGTACTTTGACAAGTTACTTTAGGATAGTAAATTTTACTGTTAAGGATTCCAGAGAAAATGGTAAAGGAACTACCTTTTAAAAGAATGTTCTTCACTTGTTTTTCAATCCTAGCTCAATCTGCATCATCTCCAAAGAGGAAAAAACAGCATAAGAAATACCGAAGTGTTATTTCAGACATATTTGACGGAACAATTATTAGTTCAGTGCAGTGTCTGACTTGTGACAGGGTGAGTATGAGGGAATTATAATATGCAGGGAATTTCTGTCAAATGGTCTTAAAAAAAAAAAAACCTGACAAATGGGATGAAAAGTTTAATTTTTTCTCCTTGCTACTTATGGTTATACATGTATTTCTTATGTTTACATCAGCATAAATTGATTCTAGGAGTAGAATTTATTTTTTGGAAGTAGTAGCAACATCAGTTTGAAAGGATGGGTCTTGACCTGTCATTGGACAGGCATGCATTAGCAGCAAGAATTAACTCCGTTGTTCATCTCTGGTCACATGGAAAGGTGATATGTTCCTCAGCAACAATAAATGGTAACACATGCATATCCTCCCAAGGTTGATAAAATTCATATGCTGGGAAACTGTTGCTGTTCACAGGCACAAGGCTGTGAGTGTATCTTCTACATTTGGTGGTATGGCTTATAAATATTTTCTTTTGTTAAGATTACGGCTCAGATAATACAGGTAGTGTCAGATTCATGCATAAGAGCATAAGTTAAAATCATGAGTTCTTTAATCTTCCCTAAATCTATGAGTTTCTTTGAGCTTTTCTTAAGAGTGGTTTTGTTTCAGTGCAGTAATGAGTTAAGGAATATAAAATGACTTATTAAAAAAACCCTCAAAAGTAAGTTTTCAGCTATTGTGGTAGGATCTTAAGTCAAATCTAAGAGCTTTCAATAGCATCATTTTAATGTAGGCTGTTTGGGTACCAAATATTTTTTATTTTTATTTTTTAATGTTTATTTACTTAAAAATTTTTTTTTTCAACGTTTATTTATTTTTGGGACAGAGAAAGACAGAGCATGAACGGGGGAGGGGCAGAGAGAGAGGGAGACACAGAATCAGAAACAGGCTCCAGGCTCTGAGCCATCAGCCCAGAGCCTGACACGGGGCTCGAACTCACGGACCGCGAGATCGTGACCTGGCTGAAGTCGGACGCTTAACCGACTGCGCCACCCAGGCGCTCCAGTGTTTATTTATTTTTGAGAGAGAAAGAGCATGAGCAGGGGAGGAAGAGAGAGGGGGGAAGAATCTGAAACAGGCTCCAGGCTCTGAGCTGTCAGCACAGAGCCTGACGTGGCGCTTGAACTCACAAATGTGACATCATGACCTGAGCCAAAGTCGGACGCTCAGCTGACTGAGCCACCCAGGTGCCCCTGGGTACCAAATATTTAAATTGGATTATCTTGAATTATTTTCAGCTTTTTAAAAATTACATGCCAAGTTTTACATCTTTTTAAAAACCATCATGAGATGTCATTTCCAAAAACAAATGCAGTAATAGTTCTTACAAGTTTGGAGCTCAAGCCACAGTGGCTGGATGTACTTTTCTATGCCACAGTGTCCTTGATTAATGGGAATGTTAGTAGTAACTTCGTAAGATTTATGTGAAGATTAAATTTAGAACAGCACCTGGTACAGAGCAAGTGTTTTTGCCATTGCTATTACTGTTACTGATATTTTGGGGTTTTTTTGCTTATAAATTGCTTTGCAGTCTAAGATTTGTTCTCACAAATGTGTTGGATTATTTTCATCCCATTTTAAACACGAAACAATTTTAGGTGTCTGTAACCCTCGAGACCTTTCAAGATCTGTCCTTGCCAATTCCTGGCAAGGAAGACCTTGCTAAGCTGCATTCATCCAGTCACCCAACTTCTATAGTCAAAGCAGGATCATGTGGCGAAGCATATGCTCCACAAGGGTGGATAGCTTTTTTCATGGAATATGTGAAGAGGTATGTATGCATTTTCCTCCTACTAATTGAATGTCATAGCTGCTGTTTCTGCTGTACTGGCAGAACACTTCCTTTTTTTTTTTTTCTTCTATCAATAATGTTTCAGGTTTGTTGTCTCATGTGTTCCTAGCTGGTTTTGGGGTCCAGTAGTAACCTTGCAAGATTGTCTTGCTGCCTTCTTTGCCAGAGATGAACTAAAAGGTAAGAAATATGAAATAGTCTTCAACTATGGCTAAATTGTTTTGAGTGATCTAAAATACTAGTGGGACTAAATATAAAATGTGTTTATAAAAGCTCAGTTTTAAGGTGGCTTAAACAGTACTTGCCCATATATATCATCATCGTAGTTGCCAGTATCTACCATGGCAATATAAATATAAATAACATAAATCATATCCTAAAATGATTGATACAAATTCCCGTAGTATAAGACAATATGGTGAGGGATTCAAAGAAGGGAATTCAACCCATATAAATGTTGTATATCAGGAGTACTCTGAATTCCTCCATAATATTTAAGATTTTCCACTGTTTTTGTGGGTTCAGCACCTTGCTGGAATATATAACAGGCAGTCAGTAAAGTCAGGAAAGGATATTTTTTTGAGATAGGCCTTCAAGGTTGAAAAGAGAGAGAGGAGAGGGTATTTTAGGCAAGGTAAACATCACGAATTGATTCTTGAGCAGAGACTAAAAAATGTGAGCTTTGTGTTACTGTGCTGCAAAATCGGCATACGGCAAAGTCAAAGAATTGCAGAACCAAAAAAAAATACAGTAACTTACTTTCATTTTGAGAGGAATGACCAGATCTGTTCTATTTCCAGGTGACAATATGTACAGTTGTGAAAAATGCAAAAAGTAAGTGTCATTGATAGTGCTTTGAATCGCATGTTTTGTATTATAAATGATATTTTTCTTGGTCACTTGAATTAGGTATGTGGAGTTAATTTTGCACCTTATTTAGAAAAATAAAGGCTAATAAGCTTTGTCCAAGTAAAAATAGAGAGACTGGCTCTTCTGTAAAACAAATTTGAGGTAAAAGTTTAACAAATTTAATAGGCTTATCTAAGATGTGAAAGTTTATATGTATTTTGAGATATAAAATAAGTATATAATTTTGCATAAAACATCTTCTAAATATGGTATAAAACATATACTATGATGTATAATACACATTTTCATTATATGAGTTTGCCATCATAAATAGGGCAATATTCTTTTCTGGATGAACAGGCTAGATTCAGGATGTCAAAGTGACTATAAAGGAACATAGTTTCAAATCTGTATAAAATTCAGAAAGGTTATACTAACTTTGATGTTACCTGTTGTATGATGGCAGAATAGAAAGTTAAGAAAAGTATGGTATTGTTTCTTTACATCTACTACTAGCTGCCTTTTAAAAGTCTTATAATAAACTCAAGCTTTTAAGCCTTTGTGGTGCAAAGTTAGAAAAGAAAAGTAATTGGAGGATTGAAGGCAGATATGTTTGTGTGAACTGAGAAATTTCTGAATCTCTGTAAGAGAAAAATAATGGGATCCTAATAAGAACTAGAACCTTCATAATAACAAACATCTTACTGTTTAGCAATAATCCAGGGAAGTGTTGATCTGTAGCTATTGGTTCTCGTCATGCCAAAAAGGAATGGTATGTTGTTTGGTTAGTAAGGATTAAAAGCTGTTTTGTACTTTCTAGAAGAACATACACCTCTTATGAATTGGGAAGTATTTATTAGTTTGACTCCTTGAAGCTGTAGCTAATAGACGAAGAGGGATTTGGCCTGGAGGGACAACTTTCCTTGAAAACCAACATGAACTAGGAAAAAGATACTAGTGAAGGTGGAAAAGAACCTTGCATCTGCCCCAAATCCAAAGTAGATACCTGTCAAGTATATATTAATACTCATTAATACTAACCACCCTTTAATTCAAGTTATTTGTTTCTACATTTAAGAGTAAAGATTCTATTGCCAGAGTGGGATTGGAAAGTGGGAAAAATGGGTGAGGAGGATCAAAAGGTGTAAGTTTCCAGTTATAAATTAAGTCATGGAGATATAATGTGCACCATAGCAACTATAGTTTATAATACTGTATTTCATATTTGAAATTTTCTAAGACAATAGATGTTAAAAGTTTTCATTCATCACAAGAAAAAAAAATTTTGTGACTATATATGGTGACACATGATGTGAACTAAAATTACTGTAGTGATCATTTTGCAAAGTATACAAATATTGAATCATTATATTGTACACTTGAAACTAATTCGTGTTATCTGTCAAGTATACCTCAATTAAAAATAATAATAAAATTTAAGTAATAAAGTTTATAATATATTGACCAATATATAATATATTGGCCAATATAATATATTGGGATTTTATTTTACTCACTTTTACTTGATATCTGGATGTTATAAAGGCATAGCCAGGCCATAGACAGTAGCACATTTGTTTAAAAAAGTAGTTTTCAGGAGGTGCCTGGGTGGCTCAGTCAGTTAAGCGTCTGACTTTGGCTTAGGTCATGATATCATGGTTTGTGGTTTTGAGCCCCACATGGCTGTTAGCTCAGAGTCTGCTTTGGATCCTCTGTCTCCCCCTCTCTCTGCCTGTCCCTAATGTGTGTGCATGTTCTTTTTCTCTCAAAAATAAACAAATGTAAAAAAATAATAATAATTTTCAGGGTGCCTGGGTTGGCTTAGCATCCGACTCTTGATTTTGGCTCAGGTCATGATCTCACAGTTTGTGAGATCGAGATCTAGTCCTGGAGCCTGCTTGGGATTCTCTCTCTTGCTCTCTCTCTCTCTCTCTCTCTCTGTCCCTTCCCCTGCTGTCTCTCTCTCTCTCTCTCTCTCTCTCTCAGTAAATAAACATAAAGTTTTTTTTTTTCCTCAAAGAACTAACTCCCTGAATTAATATTACTGATAGCCTAAATATTTTTTTTTTTAATTAAGAGACTCCAATGTTTCATTAGTATTTTTTTTCTTCTTCATTTTTCTCTTTTCTCTTTTTTTTCCTCTCCTGTTCTGAATGATAGCCTTGTTGTCATTCGTATGTATTTTTAAATGGGTAGCATATAATTCAGTAGTGAGCATATTTTGTCCCTATGTTTTCTAAAATATTTTGCTGTATATTTACAAATACTTTGGGGCACCTGGGTAGCTTAGTCGGTTAAGTGTCCGACTTTAACTCAGGTCATGATCTCACATTTTGTGAGTGAGCCCTGCGTCCTGCTTCAGATTCTGTGTCTCCCTCTCTCTGCCCCTCTCCTGCTTGTGCTCTGTCTCTTTTTCTCTCAGAAATAAACATTAAAAAAAAAAATTAAAAATACTTTGTAGATTCATATGGGAAACAGGTTTACTTAAATCTGTTTTTTTTTTTTCTCTTTCCAGATTAAGGAATGGAGTAAAGTTTTGTAAAGTACAAAAATTTCCTGAGGTATGGGCTTTATTAGAATTAAGTTCATTTTGTGTTACAGGAATGTAAAACATTAACATAATACAGTGTAGCATGGTTGAAGAATGGAGTGGTTCTATTGACCAGTTGTTATGTCCATATACCCTATTAGGATTATTCATTTTTAAAATACTGACTTCTGGGGCACCTGGGTGGCTCAGTTGGTTAAGCAGCTGACTCTTGATTTCGGCTCAGGTTGTGATTTTATGGTTCATGGGATGGAGCCTCATGTCGGGCTCTGCACTGACAGCACAGAGCCTGCTTGGGATTCTCTCTCTCCTCTGCCCCTCTTCTGCTTGCTTTTACTGCATTCTCTCTCAAAATAAATAAAATAAACTGAAAAAAATACTCAGTTACATACCAACTAAGTGCCCTTATCTGTAAAACTGTGTTGAACACAGTTTAATCAGACAGTATAGGATTTTGCAGGTATAATATAAAATTAGAAAAGCCAGCAGGTTTGAACTTAGGAAGTACCAGGTTTCACCATTTCCATATTCTGATGTGTTTAGAATCAGGTTATCATCATTGTAGGGTAATGTGTAACCTTGACACTTAATTCAATACCTATATTTAATAGATTCCTTTATTAGTATATAAAACAATAGAATTTTAAATAATCTTATCTTTCTCTGTTAGATTTTATGCATCCATCTTAAAAGATTCAGACATGAACTGATGTTTTCCACCAAAATCAGTACCCATGTTTCATTTCCACTGGAAGGTCTGGATCTTCAGCCATTTCTTGCAAAAGATAGTCCAGTTCAGATTGTTACCTATGATCTTCTGTCAGTCATTTGTCATCATGGAACTGCAAGTAGTAAGTATATAGGTTTGACATATGTCTAGATCAGGGGGAAAAAAGTAACGGTCTGCATTGATCTGTTAAATAAGACCTGATTAAATAAAAGAAATGTAAAAATAGATTTTTATTTTTTAGTTTTATTGTAATTTGGTTGTTATAAACAGGTCTGAAAATTTTAGGTAATTGAATAATTTTGCTATGAAGTTTTGAATACTGGAAATATTTTGTATAAAGCTTAATATTAAGGACTTTAACATGATCATTTTTGGGGGGCACCAGGGTGGCTCATCTGGCTCTTGATTTCAGCTCAGGTCATGATCACAGTTCGTGAGATCAAGCCTCACGTTGGGCTCTGTGCTAATAGCACAGAGCCTGCTTGAGATTCTCTCTCTCTCTCCCTCTCTCTCTCCCTCCCT